TTTGGCTGATGGACACCAATGCCCTTTTAAATGTGGAAGGGAGGAATTATTGCTTTGCTTTTGTTCTTACTTTTATTATGTATTTTTAATATATTGTAATTTTATGTTGTGAACCACCCTGCGATCTATGGGTATAGAGGGGCATACAAATACAAGAAGAGGAGCAGGAGCAGGAGGAGAAGGAGTTAAGGTCCTGGTGTATACAAGCAATTTCATCCTCAAACAGCTTTATGAACAAGCAGGCCACCATCAGTTCCATCCTTCTCCTAGGTCCAGGCTGTAGTACTTAGAAACGTTCCTCCACATGTGAATCAAATGGACAAGGGAGAGCTTACTGAAAAGTGACCTAGTGTTCAGCTGCAGCATCAACAGGCCAGAAGGCTAGCTGATAGCACAACTCTAATTCTTTTGGGTAGAGAAGGGGCTAGCATGCAAAACATCCACAAACTGCCTGTGTTGCATCCCCTTCATCTGGCTTGCCCCTCCTCTCTTACCTCAAGCTCTCTCCAAGTGATATTATCCCAGGCACATGCCAGCAGTTTGTCTCTATATGTCACCTCAGAGAAAATGTAAAGTTCCCAGGTGAGGCACATCTCAGCTGGGAAAGACATGGCCCCCAGTCCCCGGCATTTGAACCCAGGCAGGGTTGTCAATCAGCTAGCAGAGGTGAAGCAGGCTTCTCTGCTGGCCTATGGTGGGAAAGGGCCAGCATCTTCATGACCAGGGAGTGCAAGCAGCTGTTGAGCAGAGCTGTCTGGATCAGCACTTAAAAATGGAAGTTGCTTCAATAATTTAAAATGGGGAATGTGGTGCACTGTCCAAAGTAATAATGCAATATGCCCAAGGTATCATGCACAATATTCAGTGTCATATAATCAATAATATCACGAAGGAAGCATGGAAGCATGGAGACATTTACACTCCACAGAATTAAATCTTCAGGTGCCCACAACTCTAGTAAAAAACAGTGACACTGATGTTCTCATTCTTCATCCAGCATAGCTGCTCAGTCCTTAAAGCACTCTGTCTATCCAGACCTAATACTTCCACTGCTTTAGGTTATATGACTCTTAGAAGTTATGGATTAAGGGAGATAATAAACCATTTTTATCACCCTCATAGATTTGATTAGGTAAGCCATTAAGTTTTACTGCGTAACTCAGTTGTTCAGATTTTTATTATGTTCATACCTTATTTACATGATCTTTTGCTATAAATGTGCATTGATTCCCCCCCCCCCCCGATGACAATCCTCACCTAAGTCTTTCAAGAGTTGAAGTAGGCAAGGGCACTGCCTTATAGTCCAAGTTATTACTTATACACTATGGGAAGGATGTTGCTGCTGGTGAACTGTGAACAACACTTGTACACAAAGTGTGAAACACTGGGTTGGAGTCAGAGTTACAATGCAATCCTAACCATGTCTGCTCAGGAGTAAGTCCTACTGAATTCAGTGGGGTTTACTCCCAGGTAAATGAGGCTAGCCTTGCAGGCTCCCACTCATACAAGTGGCCCTACACCAAGTATGATTAAGTCTGGAACCAATCCATTTTGTTGGAACTAGTTTCTCAAACTATATCTCTGGGACTGATCCATAAAAAGTATACTAGACTTTAGTTGAGGTTTTTCTTGTGAAATGAATTGCAAAACAGTTCTAACCTTTCCACCTATATGAAAGTACTTAAAAAATCACTTCAGATTATCTCAGAACCCATAAATCCTCAGACTTGGAGCTTCCTTGAGCAACTTCAAGGTTGTTAGACATACACAAAGTTGTTTGCTCTGAGCCTATATTTAAGTCTTTACTGTACGTGACTGGTGAAAAGGGACCTAAGTTACAGGGATCAAAGGACTATGGGCCAGACCCAGTAATATCCATTTTTTTGTAATTACAGGTAATTACAGATGATGGAAGAATGGGCTGTAGATGGACAATCCACATCACAATGAGATTGTATTAACATTTCTACAGTTTACTCTTGCCTGAGGGGTTACAATTCTGCTGAAAATATGCAAAATGTGCTCAATTACAGTATGCTGAATTATTTGCAAAATACAAAGCTTATTACATGTTTCTTTTAACAAGATGGACAACAGGGAACACATTTGCCAAAAATGATATTACTACTGGGCCCCCCTTGCCCATGCTAACTAGCTATCTTATATAGCTGAACTGTTTTTAGTTTGTGACTGTTACTGTGGTAGAAAAATGCCTTTGTGCCTTTGCTCTGTGATTCAGTCTTTAATTAAGCTTTGGCATTTGCTTGCTTTGAGTATTTCACTTAGCAACCTTGGTGCTCTCTTTCAAACAAGAGTACTTGCAAATGGAATGCCTTGTGTTAACCAACCCACTGTGTAACCATCATTCCTATGCATTAAAACAACAACAACAAAGAGAAACTTGTATTATTTTAATCTAGAAGAACCTGGCACAGTTGAATTTTGCATGAGAGCCTAAGTGCATTAAAATAACCTTTTCAGGTTATGAACTAAGTAAGAATGCTTCCTCTCCATAACTATGTGGACTTTATCATTATCTGATTAGTCCAGATAATGGGCAATATCCAATTAACTAGTTCTGTCAGGATTTCCACTTGCGCAACTCTGCCCAGTTTCTGCTTCCTTTAGACCTCCCTTCCCACCCTGGTGATAGAAGAGAGGCCTGACCAGAGAAAAAAAGAGGTATATCACATAAAAAGGACCACACATCCTGAGGTAAAGCTGGAATAGAATCCTGTCTAAAATCCTGCAGAGGCACTGCCATTCCAACTAGAAAATACAGGGTTAGATGGAATAATGGTAGGAATTGGTTTAAGGCAGCTTCCTACATCCCTAAAACAATGGAGAAATCCAGGACACAGCAGCGTGTCAACAAGAGATAGCCCAGGAAAAGGAAGCAGCAAAGGCAGGACCATATCATGCCACCAACATTATACAGTGGTACCTCAGGTTACATACGCTTCAGGTTACAGACGCTTCAGGTTACAGACTCCACTAACCCAGAAATAGTGCTTCAGGTTAAGAACTTTGCTTCAGGATGAGAACAGAAATCGTGCTCTGGTGGCGCGGCAGCAGCAGGAGGCCCCATTAGCTAAAGTGGTGCTTCAGGTTAAGAATAGTTTCAGGTTAAGAACGGACCTCCGGAACGAATTAAGTACTTAACCCGAGGTACCGCTGTATAAGTTCTGGGCACTAATAGGTCTTTGTTGGGCTA